CATTATTTTTGAAAAACTAAGGTTTTAAACTTGAAAAACTTTGCGAGTTTTTGGCCGATTTTCTTGCATGATACACCGTTGAAAAGCTCGAATTTCACATTCTATTTTCGTATCCGTTGCTAGGCAACCCGATAAACACGTGCTCAAATATCATGCCCGCAAGTTAAGGAGTCATGTTAGGGCGCATTCGGGCGCATTCCCGCTTACCCCCTTGCCAATCTCAGGGCGCATTTGGGCGCATTGCCGCTTAACTCATTAACTGGCAATGCGCCCGGATGCGCCCTGAGATTGGCAAGTGGGTAACTGGCAATGCGCCCGCATACGCCCTCAAATGACACCTCAACTTGCGGGCATGATATTTGAGCACGTGTTTATCGGGTTGCCTAGCAACGGATACGAAAATAGAACGCGAAATTTGAGCTTTTCAACGGTGTATCATGCAAGAAAATAGGCCAAAAACTCGCAAAGTTTTTCAAGTTTAAAACCTTAGTTTTTCGAAAATAATGCATAATGGCGATATTGTTGCAAAGAAAGATTTCACAGCAAGTTTTAAAAGAGAAAAAAGAAGACGTTTTTGAATGATTTACAACGAAAATTTGGCATGAAAGGAAAGCGAATGTATTGACGTTTTGGGCGAAGTTCTTCTGTGAACCTTGCGCGGGATTTTCAGCCTAAAAGATGAGGATTTCTCCAAACTTTATTAAAAATAGAAGTCGGAAATCACAAGAAAGATGAACACGGAACTCAAGTGAGCATTTACGATTTTTTAAAGGGTATTTTTGAGTAGAAATATGCGATCAAACACTCACAGAATTCGACCGCATTAATGTTGGTTGAATCTAGTTTAAAGTTATCTTTTTAGACGAACTGTTTATGCAAATTTGGGCGCAATTTTGACTGTTTTCGTGACCCCATTGTTGGTCTTCTTGTTCAAGTTGTTATTTTGGCTAAAGTATATTTCAAAGACACTTACTGTGTGCGTATGTGATCTTTTTGACCTTTTTGGCAAGAATACTTCGAACATTAAATTACACTAAATAAGTAGGATATTCCAAAATCACTGTTATATCTATTTTCATCAATTTAGTGTTAAAATGACAACTCGTTTCAGACGTATTGTGGTTTAAAATAAGTGTATTGAATAAACGCGCTTGCTTGCCGCGTGCGAATATTCAAAAAGTCCGCACTTGAGTTGTAAAGCTTTCAAAATGCATTTTTACTGTTTTTTATATCCCCTATAAAACTTTAAATCGATAAAGCAGATAATAATGTTGATGCAACATCATTTTCTAGTAACTACACGTTGAATCAGAAGGAAAAGTTATCAAAATAGGTCGCGACGGTGGTTTGCAAAATGTTGCTTCCCTCTGAAATGGCTTCCTTTGTGGGAAGCCATGAAATTGAAGTCCTAACAAAAACAAACCTTAGCAGTTCTTTTGGGCCCATTGCTCACTTATTTATCATGAAATCGCTTCACTAGAACATTTTTAATAATGTCTATGGGAAACTTTGTAATTTTCTGAACTAAAGGTTTATGGTTTTGAGGTGTTTATTTTATAAAATAGCACGCGCGACAAAATGGCACTAATGTGGTTTCTCACGTCTGACAAACAACCAGAGATGAAATTTCTTATTTCACCCTTTTATAGCTATGTGGAATACCTGAAAATTAGGTTACCTTTTTCATGTGAGGATATAGATAACATTTCTACACAATAGTCCTTATGAAGGCTTATTTCAAACTCAAAAAAGGAGATTGTTTTTCAGAGCCAGACTTCGAAAGAAACCGCCTGTCTGACATTTTATAGCAGCCTACATTGGCGCGCAAAATAATTTTGGCTTTTAAACCGTTGTTTTCCCAATAGAAGCATGAAAATATTGAGCTAAAAGGCTTACCTGGCATGTGTTTAAAGTGTTTTTCTCTTTATGATGCTTTTCAGTGCTTTGAGTACAGAAGTGAATAGCTTTTAGTTTTGTCACCACAGAGTGCCTTTCAAAATGTCGGCTGTCATTGTCTGTGTTAAAAACACCTCAGAAAATTCCCATTTTCTCACCTTCCCATCCTTGGTTTATATTAAAATAAATAATTTTAAGCACTATGTGTCTTTTTAAATATATTTGAAGCAATCAAAAAACTTTAAAGATGTACAAACACTGTGTTTTGGCTTGCACACTTTGTTGAACTTGAACACTTAGTTACCGTTATAAATTTCATGTTGTAAACAAGATGCCCCAAAAAAGCAAAGAAGTAATTTTTAAATTTTTTGATAATTTCATAATTCATATCCCAAAAGATGAAAATCGGTTGTAATATAGATATGTATTAATTTAGTAAATGATTTTTTTTTTGGTTTTTATATAAATTTATGGAGATATAGCCCCTTTAGGTGATGAGTGACATGGAAAACAAAATGTCACTGCTTTATAAATAAAAATACTGACTGAAAAAACTAATGATATATATAGGTATGCAAGGTCATCTAAACTAAATTTGGTCAATCATATATCATTCATGTTTGGTTGAAAAGATCAGACTTTTTTATGCAATTGTTTCTGAGATATTGGCATTTTGGTGAAAGCTTGGAATTCAATCATGAATTCGCCATATTGCTTGCCACTTTAGGGGGTGGTAACATTGTAACAGCTTGCCAGTTAATGAGTTAAATTAAATAACTGATCAGAATGCTTATAATGCTTATAGACTATAGTTTATTTTGTTACATGGCTAAAACAAACGTCGCTACTATCGTAATAAACTGTGAAATGTTAGCTAATTTATATAAACAATGCGTATAATTTTTTTTATAGTATTCATCAAAATTACATACAATTAAAATTATGCTTTTTCTTTTACTAACC